TGAACTCGGGTCCCCCGCTCAGAAACGCTTCTCCCAGGCTTGGTGCCATCGCGCTGGGAGGGTGTTTTGTTACCTGGATGAGGTTGGAGAACAGTGGAGCCTTGGAGTCTACACCTTGACCTTACTGAGCCGTCACGTGGAAGTAGGGACAGCAGTTTGGGGCCTTTTGGGGGCCAGCGTGTCTTCACGTTGGCATTAAGCTACTAATTGGGAAGAAAAGGAGGTCTCTGGGCCTTGGTCGCAAAAAATAGGGTTTGGAAACATTCATTCATTCAACAAACACATGTTAAGAGCCTACTAATGTGCCAGCCCTCAACCTGATGTTGGTATGAATCTTTTTTTTTTAACATCTTTATTGGAGTATAATTGCTTTACAATGGTGTGTTAGTTTCTGCTTTATAACAATGGTATGAATTTTATTTTTCTAAGTCAGTAAACCTCCCTCAGCCCAAGCTGTCTGGTGATAAAGATACCACAATTTCCTCTTTCGTCTCTCCTCGATAAACTTCGGAGGGTCTCTGCAGCCTGCCTGAGCTCTGGCCATCTGAAGTTTTCAGCAGTTTGAAGGAAAGCGGTGAAGCCCCCCGAGCCCAGGCAGCCCCCTTCCTTAGAAGGCTGGCTCTTCTTATCTTGCCCCCAGATAGCCCCGCCCCACTCAGGGGCCTCGGAAGTCAGCAGGCCAGGGGTGCAGGGTGACGCATGAGGGGCCCAGCTCTGCCCTAAACAGCTGGGTGGCCTTGGCAAGGCCACGTGATATCCCTGGGCAGGGCAGGGGGAGGAAGGTGGTGCAGTCGTCAATTTCACACACGCCAAGGGCATACACGCGGCCCTTCCTGTGGAATGAGTTACCCGTTTCATCTGGAAGAAACATACTGGGGTCCGTTTCCACCCCGTCACTCTGCAGATTGGCCGTGAACAGCGTGGTTTCCTTCCTGGCAGTGACCGCTCTCCAGTGCGCTGCAGATGACAGAAAGCACGGGAGACCAAGGCCCGGCACAGGGAGCTCCGACGGCGTGTGGAGTGGAGCTCTCCGCCACACTTTCTGGGGCCCACCTTTTCCCAGCCCCGGGGAGGTGGCTGCCTGGGGCCACCTGGAAGAAGTCCGGGCCGAGGCTGTCCTACACGGCTCCTCATGAGCTCCGGCCCCCTTTGGCAAGCCGGTCACCCTCTCCAAACCTCAGTTTTCTCATGTGAAAGCTGAAAAGGTGAAACCCACTCCCCAGTGTTAAAAGCAATAAGGTGCCTGCACACATGGGTGCTGGACAGGGGTTAACCCCCTCCTTAGTGCCCACCGAGAGCAGCTGGTCAAGCCGTAGCAGAAGTCTCCTGTTAGTGTATCAGAATCCGAGTTCGGTGTCCCAGTTGGGTTTGGCTGGGGTGGGGACAGTGATGTGGGAAAAGATGGGAAGACAGATGTGGGAGGGGCTTGAGAGGGTTTGGGTCTCATCCTGGAGGTGGCAGGAGGCCTGAAGGGGTGTGAGCCGGGCCACCCTTTGTGTCATGGGTGGGCAGTGGTCTCTGAGGTTGGAGAGGGATGCTCGAAACAGCTGACGCACAGCAGAGAACCCTTTAGAACTTTTGTAGCTTTTAAAAGAAGATCACAGGGCCTTTCCTCCCTTCTCCGCAGCTGCATGAGCTCAGCATCCTCCAGTGAATGGAGCTCTGGGCGGCGGCCCTGCCCTGGCCTGGCCTGCTTCTCCTATTGAGCTGTGGGGTCTTGTGCCCCTTCCCTTCTCTGATCTCAGTCTCCTTGTCTGGAGAAAATTATCGGAAGATTATCGATAAATGGGGAGATTGGGATTGACTTAGACACACTACTATGTATAAAATAGGTAACTAATAAGAACCTACGGTATAGGGCTTCCCTGGGGGCACAGTGGTTACGAATCCGCCTGCCAGTGCAGGGGACACGGGTTCGAGCTCTGGTCTGGGAAGATCCCACACGCCGCGGAGCAGCTAAGCCCGTGTGCCACAACTACTGAGCCTGCGCTCTAGAGCCCGTGAGCCACAACTACTGAGCCCACGTGCCACAACTACTGAAGCCCATGTGCCTAGAGCCCGTGCTCCGCAACAAGAGAAGCCGCTGCAATGAGAAGCCCGTGCACCGCAACCAAGAGTAGCCCCCGCTCGCCACAACTAGAGAAAGCCCACGTGCAGCAACAAAGACCCAACGCAGCCAAAAAAAAGTAATAATTAATTAATTAGTTTTTTCAAAAACCTACTGTGTAGCACAGGGAACTCTAGTTAATACTCTGTAATGATCTATATGGGAAAAGAATCTAAACAAGAGTGGATATATGTATATGTATAACTGATTCACTTTGCTGTACAGCAGAAACTAACACAACACTGTACATTAACTATACTCCAGTAAAAATCAATTGAAAAAAAAAGAGGAAGATTATTGGGCCCGCCTCCAGCATAGCTGTGAGTTTGGTTATTCGATCCTGGATGGGAAAGCCCTTTGTAAACAGTATGTGAGAAAGTACTAAAGTCATAATTGCATTACACTAAAAATAAAAAAAAAGGTCTCACCATCCCGCAACCCGGATGGTTGATCTAGACCACGATTACGAATGGCTGCGGAATTATCAGGTGATGTGCTGACAGCACCGGGACCCCCCAGTCCAAGGCGGTGTTGCTAAGAGTGGGATGAGCTGTCCACTCCTGATGGGACATGTAGGAAGTACACGTGCGTGGATGCTGGGAGTGACCCCTAGACGCAGACCACTCTACTGGTCCCACTCCTACCCCCAGCGCAGTGCCTCCTAAGGGACTCTCTTCAGAGGCTACTGCAAAATGTTCCTTGGGGGCAAAATTGAGGACCGCTGCTTGGGATGAAACTGAGTTTATAGGAAATACTGGGGCTAGAGGAGCTTGTTCAACACCACCACAAACGTACAGTCCTCTAAATCCATAATTCAGAAAATTCTACAAGACAAATAACGCAATGTCATCAAATATATCGCGTAGGAAAAACAAACCAAGGGAGAACTATTTCAGACTAAAAGAGACGTAATGACCCATCTACCAAGTGCAGTGTGTTGCTTTTGGAACCTGATTTAGAACCTTAATTCCCCGACCAGGGATCGAACCCGTGCCCCCTGCAGTGGAAGCGCAGAGCTCTAACCATTGGACTGCCAGGGAATTTCCCAGAACCTGATTTGAACAAACTATAAGAAGACATTTTTAGAGATAATTGGGGAATTATAAAACATTGAGGAATTATTGTTAATTTTATAGGTATCTGACGATATTATGATTATGCCTCAAAAAAAAAAAAAAACCTTACTACTAAAGATGTGCATGGAACAAGCTGAAGTATTTTCATGGGTTCTGATATATCTGAGATACACTCTAAGTGAATCCAGGAAAAATAAAAATAACAAGAATATGGGGTGGTGACAGGAAGAGCAGAATATAACCAGTGCTGAGATGGGTACCTAGGGGATCACTCTACGGTTCACTGTGTATATGTTTGAAATTTTCCACAATAAAAATGTCTCTCGGGCTTCCCTGGTGGCGCAGTGGTTGAGAGTCCGCCTGCCGATGCAGGGGACACGGGTTCGTGCCCTGGCCCGGGAAGATCCCACGTGCCGCGGAGCGGCTGGGCCCGTGAGCCATGGCCGCTGAGCCTGCGCGTCCGGAGCCTGTGCTCCGCAACGGGAGAGGCCACAACAGTGAGAGGCCCGCGTACCGCAAAAAAAAAAGAAAGTCTCTCAAGATTAAAAAACAAATAAGTTAGAAGTGGACACAGTGAGCAGCAGTCAGCAGTAGAGCCTAACTCTGAAGAGTCCGGCTGGCTCCAAAGGAGGCGTGGCAGGCGACGTCTGGGCCTCCGTCCCCGACTGTCTCAGAGGCAGGAGCTCCGCTGGTTCTGCACCGTCTAGGGAGGGAGCCGGCGGGTTCTCAGCCCCCGCACGCAGGGCACGCCCCCTCCCAGAGGCAAATGCACAGCTCGCTCAGCCTCGCTCTGTCTGGCCCGGGGACGGTTCCCCATCAGCACTCTAAAACCGAAGTCCTGCTGCTTGCGAATGGAGTGTAAAATCAGTGTCCAGCCCCTCCCTGGGCTGCCCCACGCCTTGCTGGGCGGCAGACGTGGTGGAGAAGAGGGAGCCTTCCTTCCACCCTTTCAGACCCTGGGCCGCCCCCCCAGCCACCTGGGCGCCAGGGGAGCAGCGCTTGCGGGCTCCACGGGTCTGCGCAGACCTCTTCTTGCCACAGGACTCTCGTTTGCCTCCGCCTGCCTGCATCCCTCGAGGGGTGGCTTAACTTCATAGATGGCTTCCTCCTGGCCTTTCGAAGCTGTACTGTCAAGGCACCCAGACGTTCTTGGCACTGCAGACAGTGCGATCTTTGCAAACTGCAAAGCTGACCTCACCGCTCACATTTACCCCCTCTTCAGCCCCAGCCGTGCTGGTGGACCCTCCCCACGGTTGCTCCCGCCACCACCACAGGACCTTTGCACATGCTGTCCCTATGCTGGGCGCTCTTTCCACCCCTTCCCCAACTAATTCCCACCGGCCTTCAGGTCTCAGCCTCCTGGACCAGGACAACCCCCTTCCCCAAACCCCAGTACATGTTTTGGTGACATGTGTCACAGTTTCCGTATCTCTACTTTGTGTGACTATTTGATCCATGTCTCCCCCGCCTAAAACCACAGGCTTCACGAAGACTGGGACTGTGCCTGCCTCTGCTCCCCACGAGCCCCTCACACTCAGGATGGGCGCTCCCAGAGGATGTGTGAACCGGGGCAGTGGGGAGTAGTGTAACCTCGCTGCAGACCTGTCACTCTGCTCCCTTGCACCACCTTATTTTAGTAAAGATTTTAAAACTCTGATTATGAAGATAAAATAAGGGACCTCCCTGGTGGTCCAGTGGCTAAGACTCCACGCTCCCAATGCAGGGGGCCCGGGTTCAATCCCTGGTCAGAGAGCTAGATCCCACGTGCCACAACTAAGACCCTGCATGCCGCAAGTTAAGAAAAAAATAAAATAAAAAGAAAGAAAGAAAAAATAAGATTGTAGAAATTTTGAAAGTTAACAAATTATAACATGTATGTGGTAAAACCCCACCACAGGCTAATTTCTATAGGCATGTTTCACAGTCAACACCATTCCATAGGTTTGATTTTACACCCAGTGCTTTCCGTGGAAGTTCACAAAACATTGTCTCACACCAGGAAGATGTTCTAAAACCTCTGACAGAGAAGCAGCCCCGCCTCCCTAGACTCTCCAGAGAGACCACTGGGGCTCGAGAACCAGTGTCATTTATGCAAAAGCAATGCTTTGCCAACCATCTCAGACGAACAGGCAGGCTTTGTGGGGAAGCAGGCGCCTTCGAGAAACTTCACTCTTTACTGCAGGGGCCACAGCCCAGAAGGGGTAGGATTAGATGTTCTAAGGCCGTGCCCGGCCATGGTGGGTCCCAGGCAGGAGAGGAGAAGGCTGGGTTCTCATCTTCACTCCTGTAACCCTCTCCTCCCTGGGCCTCAGTTTCTGCATCCGGAGAGCAAGAGGTTGGGCTGTGACGTCGGAGGGCGATAAAGAGAAATGAATAGCCTACAGACACTCTGCTCATCGTCACACAGCAGCCACTGTCTACCAAGCACCTGCCGCCCCGCCGGCTACACCACTCCACATTCACTGCTGCACTCGACTTCACACTGTCCCACGGGGGAGGAAACGCTTTTTAAGCTCTATTTCAGAGATGAGGAAGGTGCAGCTCACAGAGGCGGCTTGCACCGAATAAGCAGCAGAGAAGGACCGCATCGGGGCTGACTGTTACTCACAGAGGGTAGTCCATAGGGAAAGAAGACAAAGGGGACGTCTGAGTGGCTCCCACGCCAGTGGCTCTCTCTGGAAGGGAGGGTGGCAGGCACCGTGTATTTTCTTCTGCGGACCCATCTGCATTCACCAGATTTTCCACGGTGGCTATTACTCTCACATGGAGCTAAAGTAAAAGTTTGAAAAAAATAAAATATCGTTTTACACGTCTCCTCTACAAGCTGAGAAGAGATTGTTTCTGAATCATTTCTTGGTCCTAAGCTTTTACCACATGACCCGGCACGCACGAGATAATTTGGTAAATATTTTAGTAATGATAAAAGATGCTTTTTTTTTTTTTTTAACCTGTAAAAAGTACCTAGGGTAAAAATCACACCACCAGCCAGTTAACGAACAGGAACACAAACTACCTGGGCCCTCGCCCCTTCGAGGGCCACTCAGGGTCTCTGTGAAGATGCTTTATATCTTCTGCAAACGGAAGGCCAGCCTTTCCCTCTAATATCTTTTTTTTTTTTTTTTTTGCTGCACTGCATGGCACGCAGGATCTTACTTCAACAACCAGGGATCGAACATGCGCCCCCTGCAGCGGAAGCTCAGCGTCTTAACCACTGGACCGCCAGGGAAGTCCCTTCCTCTAATATGGAAAACACATAAAAATGCAAGTGCTAATCCCTGTACATCTAAAATCATCCTTGTGAAATTCTAGCTTGTCTCACTCCACACACACGTTGGAGCTCTGTCTGTGCCACACACTCCGTGCCCTCCTGATGTGCCCATTTCACAGATGAGGAGACTGAAGTTCAGGCATGTTAAATATGCCACCCCATTGTCACACTGGGATGGGGTGCCGACCCCAGTGTCCTGGCTTGGGTCTCTTTCCTGACCCCACGTGGTCTCCCTGCATAGGCCTCTGGAGGGGCTTAGGGCGGCTTCTTGGGCCCCTCCTATGTCTCCAATGTAGACATCTGCCGGGAGCCTCGATGGGGCGCTGAGGGAGGCTCTGTGTCCCCCAGAATGTGGGCCCGGCTCAGGGCTCCCTGGCACACCCCCGCTCACCTCCTCTAGGTGGTGCTATGCCTGCCCCTTCCACGCAGAACCCCACCTGCCACTGCAGCCCCGCCTCTCCCCAGGGTGCACCTCCCCACGGGCTCCCAAGAGCCCAAGGAGGTGGCGACAGTCATCCGCATTTTACAGATGAGGAAACCGAGGCTCAGAGAAGGGCAAAGTCAAGACAAGCCAGTGTCAGACAGGTGTCTCCAACCGCCACCATGTGCTGGGGGAGCAGAGGCGGGCAGAGCAGGGCGGCCCGGCCCTGCATGTCAAGGGCAGTGAGAGGGTGCGAGGCAGTGTGGACCCGAGTGTGCGGATCGCTCTTTCTGGAAGCTCGGCTGCGCAGGTTTGGCAAGAGGTAGTGGCAGCTGGGAGCAGGCCTCGGAAGAGGTTTGTCTCCTTCTGGGACAGGAGGCAGCTGAGCCTGGCATGGGCCCAGGGGAGGAGCTGGAGTTGGGGACAGGAAAATGGGGACTGGCCCTGCATGCGAAGAGGCCCCCGGGGAAGGCGCCTGGAGCCTGGTGGACCCTGGGGGAGTGACCAGCTTTTTCTTTCTCGCCCCTGAAGCCCAAACCCAGCTCTGCTCAGCGCCCCTGGGCAGCCCCAGGCCAATCTTTTCTGGACGTCCCACCCAGGGAGTGGTTGTGCTTGTTGGGTGAAGCCTGGATCTCCCTGGAGGGCTGGGCCCACTGGGATTGGGGATGCCTGGAGGGGGGACCCTGATGCCTGGAACAGCCATCCTCAAACCGTCCTGAGCACTTCCTGTGTGCCAGGGTTAGGCTCACAGCCTAACGGGGAGGCAGGTGGACAGACAATTCTAGAGGCCACTGACCAGGACCTGAGGCTATGTCAAGAGGGCCCAGAGAGGGATCTCCAGGAGAAAACCAGAGGCCAGGGTGCTCGGCCTGGTCCCCCTGCGGCTCCAGACAGCACACCTCACGTGTGGCTCTTGGCCGATCTCTTGGCCCATTTTAGAGTTTAGGGGCAGCCCCTCCCCCAAGCCCAGCCCCACCCCCGCAGGGCAGGAGGAGGGCGGGTGTTGACGACTGAGCACGTCCCAGGCCAGGCTGCGTGGGGTTGGGAGACCCCTAATCCGGCGGCTGCCACCCCCTCGGATAATCTGGTTCGCCTGCCACGTGCCCAGCACGGAGGGCCACGGGGATGAGCAAGGGGCTCCCGGGCCTCTCAGGAGGGCGTGGCCAGCTCTGCCAGGTGTGGGAGCTGGGGGTGGCACGTGGCCAAGGGGACCAGGGTTGGCTGGAGAAGGCAGGAGGGGGTCCAGGCAGAAGGAACGGGACAAGCAAAGGCGGGGTCTGTGCAGCCAGGATTGTGACGTGTCTGGAAAACACCAGTCTGGATGGGAAGGGGGCGGCGAGGCTGCAAGGTTAGGCTGGGGCCGGATCTGGGAGGGGGTCCTGGAGAGATCGGGGCTGGTGTCCTGGTGGCTGTAGGGGGGTGGGTGCAAATGAAGAGGCAGCAGTTTGGAGGTGGATCCGCCCCCCTCTGTCTACTTGTCACCCTGGCTGCTACGCTGCTCCTCTCGGGCCCACACACCCTCACCTTCACCTCTGCAGGCCTGTCCTTGGGAAGTCCCCCCGCCCAGATTCAAACAAGAACAAAAGCCTCGCAGCCAACTGTCTCCCAGCCATGAGCTCACCCTCCGTAGGAGGGAGTGGGCAGCCAGTGCTCAGAGAATCAGCGCGACCCGGCAGAAGCTGAAGGCTTTTCCTGGAGACTTCTGAGACCTTGAAGGGCAGAGGTGGACCTCGTTCAGGCGCGCACCGGGTATCAGCTGGGCATCAGAGCCTGGTGCAGAGAGGGTGCCTACAGTATCTGGGGGTTGGGGGTGGAGTGGCAGCGGGAGGGAAGGTCTCCTGATGGGTGACACTTGGTGGAGGGGGAGGAAGGTCAGCCAGCCTGAGGCTTGTGTGAGGCCCCTCAGGGCAGAGACCCAGGGGTGGGCAGGCTGAGGCCTGCTCCCTCCCCAAAGAGGAGGGGTGGCCGCTCTGGAGGGGGAATGGCAAGGAGCCGCCAGGGGCCTTTTTGTGAGAGCTAAGAACATCCTCCACTCCAGGTGGAGGACGGAGGAAGGACAGCGGCTGGACTCGGTGCTGGGACATTTAGGAAGCCAACTTCTGTAGCCAGGAGGGAGCTGGGCCCAACTCGTGTGTGTGTGTGTGTGTGTGTGTGTGTGTGTGTGTGTGTGTGTGTGTCTCAGGAGCTGTTGGTTGGTGGGTGGATGAGTTAGGAGAAAATAGTGGCTGAGGTTTGGCAAGAAGAGGAACATGGAGTGCATCCAACAGGTTCCTCTAAGGTGGGCAATATCTAAGGTTGGCTTAGGATGGAGGAGCAAAGGGAGAGGTTGAAGTCGCTAGGTCAGGGCGGGTAGATGCGTCAGGAAGAAAGACAACACGTATTAAACCCCTCCCCCACCGGAGGTTTGTGGGACACCCCTTCCTCTGAAAGAGGAAACCGAGGTTCAGAGAGGTTAAGTAACTTGCCCAAAGTCACACAGTAAACACCAGAGCTGGGATTCCATGTTCTCTACTATCATCAACTTCTCAGGGGCTGGAAAATATGGGGTGTCTTGTGGGGGGGCGGTGGGGAAGGAGGGGTGGGGAGAGTGTGGCATGGGCAGGGCCTCACCCCAGGTGTCCCGTCCGTCATCACCAAACAAGCACCACATCGTATGTTACCCGGAGCCAGACGGCCTGGCTGCCAATCCTGCTGGTGTCCTTCGCAGCTATGGGGCCGTGGGCATGTAACGTTCCCCCGCGTGAGCCTCAGTTCTTCTCGGCGACATGGGCGACTGCGAGGACGAAGAGGGTAGACACACACTGCGCAGGGCTCAGGCAGGCTACGCTCTTCCCCCTCCTCCGTGTGGGCCCTGGCTACCCGCTGGGGACCTGGTAACTGCAAAGAGACCAGACAAGGCGGTAAGGCATCTGGGAGGTGGCCCAGGGGCTGCTGGAGCCCTGCACGGCCTCGGGTGGGAGTTGGGTGAGAGTCGGGGATGCTATTCCGAGGGTCAGAGCACCTGGGGTACCATTCTGAGCCACACACCAGAGGGGACTAGGAAGTAGAGGAGAAGGGAATCCCAGGAGGTCCAGGCAGAGGGCAGAGCAGGTGCAAAGGGGAGGACTTGACAGAGTTCGAGGTGCTTCCGGGGAGCCTCACGCGTGGAAGGGGCGGGAGAGTTTCCCGCAGTGGATGATCGGGCGTGAGAAGCATCTGTATCCCCTGCCACCTCTGCCCTCTGCACCCATCTCACGTGGCTCCCACGGGAGACCTGATCCCGCAGCTTCTAAATCGGGTTTCGCTTTCTGAGGGTGGCGGCAGCAGAAGGCAACGGGGCGATGCCTTTAAAAAACAAGGCTATTTGGAAAATTCCACTGTGGTGTGCTGTAACACAGAGCCCCACCCCCACGTGCTTTCTGTGGTTTCTTAGTACCTAGAGCCTTAAGGCCTCCAGCCCTGGGCTCCTCTTAAGCATCAGTGAGCCGCAAGCCACAGGGGGTCCCCTGCACCACACCTCCCCCCCCACCCCACCTACCATCGCCAGGTTGTGCATTCCATACTTTGCAGGGTCTGTTGGTTTCATTATAACTTACTTCCTCCAAGCAATTACTTGGGATGCTCTGAGAATTAGTGACCTTTGATTTGGGCACCAGACCCCACTGGTTCAAGTGTCCCCAGTAAAATGGGGCAACAATACAGCATCATGGGGCTGCTAGGGCAGCTAGAGACGCTGTTACAGACGGTAGAACACACAGACCGTAGTCACAGGGCTCTGTGGTCAGCACTCCCATCACAGCAAGTGTGTTTGGCTGTGCATTCATTACCTAACCCCCTGGAGCACGCGTGTTCCCACTGACAAAATGGTGACAGGACTTGTCGTGCTTTGATGAGAAGGGACAGGGTGCAGAGCCCTCATCCGATGGCCTCAGGTTACTGTGCCTCTTGAATCTTGTCGGTTACCCATCAGTCAGCATCTTAACACATCTCATTATAAATAGAATAATATTTAAATATTATTATAAATAGAATAATATTATAATAGTAATACTATTATAATATTACTATTATAATATAGTAATAATAATATAATAATATTATTATTACATTATAAATAGAATAATAATATTCCAGGGGAATTCCCTGACGGCCAGTGGCTAGGACTCTGCGCTTCCACTGCAGGGGGCATGGGTTCGACCCCTGGTCAGGGAACTAAGATCCCACAAGCCACGTGGCGTGGCCAAAAAAAAAAAAAATTATAAATAGAGCATTCGTTTGTTGCGGGAAATCTAAAAGTTTCAAAATACATAATCAGAAGGTAATCATGTGTGTTCTGATATCATTTGAGTGTTTCTGTATGTTTCTGTGGATGACATTCCATATTCTATGATTGTTTTATTTAAAATTCAGTATCACTCTTACAACTTATGCATTTCCTCTTTGCTACAATAAACTACTTGAAGATTTTTTAATTTTATTTTTAAAAATTAATTAATTAAATTTTGGCTGCATTGGGTCTTTGTTGCTGCGTGTGGGTTTTCTCTAGTTGCGGTGAGCAGGGGCTACTCTTCCTTGAGGTGCGCGGGCTTCTCATTGTGGTGGCTTCTCTTGTTGTGGAGCACCGGCTCTAGGCGCGTGGGTTTCAGTAATTGTGGCATGTGGGCTCAGTAGTTGTGGCTCGTGGGCTCTAGGGCACGGGCTCAGTAGTTGTGGCGCACGGGCTTAGCTGCTCCGCGGTATGTGGGATCTTCCCGGACCAGGGTTCAAACCCGTGTTCCCTGCATTGGCAGGCGGATTCTTAACCACTGCGCCACCAGGGAAGCCCTAAAGATTTTTTAAACGGCTGCATAGAAGTCCCTCCAGTTAGTTAAGCTCCCCCCATGATTGGACATCCACATCATATCCATTTCACTGTTGTAAGTAGCACTTCAGTGAGCATATTTTTACAACAGTCTTTGCCTGACTTTGGGGGTATTTTTTTTTATAAGGACAGCTCCCTTCAAGTGCACTATTAGATGAAAAGGATTCAGTGTGTTATAATTTTCTCTTTTGCTGGAGCCACGCCTTCTCCCTTTTATAAATGTGCTGTAATACTTCTAGGAGTTCCACCTCCCTGAATTCACTGATTTTCACCTCTGCAGGTAAGAAACAGGTAACTGCCCTTGTTAAAACTGAGTAGAATACGAGTTGATGGTCTGGTTGTGAGGGTCTGATGCTGCTTCTTTGCCGCAAACTGCAGAGGTTCGTGGTGACTACTCTGGTTATGACACTTTTCCGTCTCCGTGTCTCTGGCCATCTTCTCTGGGCCTGACGTTGCTGGAAGGCTTACCTCCAGCTACCTGGGCTACTCTTGACTTTTTTTCCTCATCTTGATCAATTTTCAGAAGCAACAAGGCAAACCCAAGTTCCAGGCATTGTGTCCTAAAAATGAGAACTTCCAGCTCCACAGTGTATTCCTTTATTCCAAGGAATGAAGACAGAAAAGATGGGCTTTCCTAGATTTCTGAAAGCCCTTGGGCCAGCGGAAAGCTCTTTGGAAATAAATGATGGTTGCTCAATCTGCCTCTGCCTGGTGGGGACGGCCCGCTGACACTCACAAGTGAAGTGTGACCACCGCCGCCGGTACTTTCATTCCCATCCTGGGCCCCCGGTGGCCCTGAACAGAAGCTGGGGGCAAGGAGGGTGGGAGGGAGGATAGCGAGTGGGCGGGAGCTTTTGGACAGTGGGGGGCAAGCTGTGAGGGCCAAGCTGAGCGGCCTCACCTCCCCGCACCTGCTTCCCCACCTGTAAAGCAGGAGTCAACGTGCCAGTAGGTGTGGTGATGGGGTCAAACAGCCAGCACAGCACGCGAGTGCAGGTATGACAAAGGTTTATTCACGCATTCCCGGGGCTGGGGAAGAGTCGGGGGCAAAATATGCATTTGGGAGACTAGAACCCCACATCTCCCGAGAAGAGGTGCACAGGGCGTTTGGCGGGGCAGAGGCTGCTGGCCAGGGTCCTGTGCCCACCCCCTTCCCCACCTGACCTTGGGCCCCTCCCCACGTCTGTCTCTGGGCCTCACTTTCCCCACTGAATAATGAGAGGGGTGGGCTTGAGGACTCTAGAGGGTCCCGCCAGCTCCGACACCCTGCTGGTGACCCTTCTGGGGTCTGCCCCTGGTGAGTTCCTATTGTCCTGGTGAGGGGATGTGAGTGCATTTGCGAGGTGCCACGTCTGTCTGCCCCTCGAGACGGGGGCTCCGTGGGCGCAGGAACTGTGGGCTATCAGTCACTCTGCTGTTCCCGGAGCCCAGGGCGCCGGCACACAGTGGGCTCAGGGCTGCCTTCCGTGGGACTCAGTCACCCTGGGAAGGGCTTCCCACTCCTGCTTGGCGAGCTTGGGGAAGGCTCACAGGTCAGGCTTGAAGAAGTCCCTCCGCGGGGTCCCTGGAGAATCTTAGCATCTCTCCTCACCTTGGCGGGTTGACTTTCTCTACATTATATTGCTAGGAAGAGCTCCCTCAAATATGCCAGAAACTGACAAAACCAGACAGCTGGGTTTTTTCTTTTCTTTTTTGGTCGTGCCGTGTGGCTTGTGGGATCTCAGTTCCCTGACCAGGGATTGAACCCCGGGCCTTCAGCAGTGAAAGCGCGGAGTCCTAACCACTGGACCACCAGGGAATTCCCCAGACAGTTGTTTTACATTTAATCCTCACACAGTTTGGGAGGCAGAGATGCTCAGAGCCTTGTTGAGATGGGGAAAGTTGGGGAAGGGAAGGGAGGGAAGGTTTCAGGGCTGATCCAGGCCAGGCCACCACCCACCAGTCCTGTGCCTGGAACTGAGGTGAGGCAGCTGCAGGCCTGGTGCTTCTCTACATCAAGCGGCAGCTTTACAGCCCCCAAAGGAACGACCAGGTGAGAATCAGTCTGGGACCCTGGCGGTTAGGTCTGCACAGGGGAGCCGGGATGGCTTCCCCCAGGCAGGCAGCAGTGAGCCAGCAGAGGGGGACACGGCACCGACCACCCTGATACAGTTTTCATCTCCGTATCAGAGACGGGGGCTGGGAGGTGCTGAGGTTCTGAGAGGTGACGTGAGTGCCCACTGCCACGCAGCTAATCTTGTTCACTGTATTTTTAATTTTGTTAGGCTGAAGTTGCAATGAGGATTCATCTAGAACACTCCTGGGTGCTGATGACAAGGGGTAAGAAATAGGTCAAATCACACTGAGGGTGTTAAGTGACAGATGGGCTCCAGTGGGGAGCTCTGGGCTGCGGCAGGGGGAGGGGCGGGAGCCAGGGAGGCAGCAGGGTGGTGAGAGGGTGAGGAGAAGGCAGACAGAGGGCGCCAAATGCAAACCCACGGACCACAAACTTCCTCGGTTCTGGATGTAGAACAATGGTTCCTGTCATTGTGGGGTTTTAAAACCCTAAGACTGACAATGAGGGCTCCAAGGGATTTGGGGAGTCGCAAAGAACACTGTAAAGGCAGATTTATTAACCTGATGTATTAAATTGCTAATTAAGTCAGGCCTGAAGCAAGTCTGTACTTTCCTGTTTCCTTAAAATAGGCTCAGGGGGGCACACTGGGGGGGCGGGGCTTGAAAGAGACCTGCTATTAGTTTTCCTTAAGACATCCAGAAATGTAAGCATTTATAAAGCCTCCATTATGCTCTAAGCATAACAGAAGCACTGTGAAGGGTGTTAAGTGTATTCTATTAACACATTTCCTTTGTAAAGTTCTCACCCCTCCTGCTATCATAAAAGGCGCTAAGAGTTATTAGAGCCATGACCCAGGCAGGAGAAACAAGTCAGGGGCTCTTCGGCCCAACGCTAATGACCACAGCCCAAATTAATCTTCCAGTGCATGCTTCCAGACGCTGTGATGGAGAGATCACCCTTCCTGTCCCCGACGGCCCTGCTAGATGTAGCTGGCTGTCTCTCTGAGGTTTCCTCTGTGGTAGTTCTGGCCGTGACAGCCCTCAGGGGTCCTGGTTGGCAGGAGCCAATCCTAGCTTGGAACCCAGGCCTTCCAGCTCCCAACCACTGGAGTCTTTCCTCTTGCCTTGATGTCCTCAGAACATAATCTTTCAGGCTCAGGGAACATACCAATAAACAAGATAAGCCCGGTTTGGCTCAGGGAGGGGGATGAGGTAGGGGTCAACAACGAGCGAACAAGACCTTTCTTATTCAGGGCCTTCCACGATCCTGGAAGGCGGTCTGGGGCGGGGCATCTGGTTTCTGACCCCTCTCAGCTACTGACCAGCCCTGAACCTTGGGTAAGTGACTTCATCTCCCACTCTGTACGACGGTTTTGATCACAGACCTTGTCTCTGGAGTTTCTGCAATATTGACGGGAAGTAATGCACATGAACGCTAGGCCAGCGGCTCCTAAACTTGTCTGCACATTACACAGCTTCCAAAACTGTACCTTACCTCCAGAGACTGATTCAGTTGGCCTGGGGCGTGGCCTGGGCTTTGAAATTTTCAAAGATCCCCAGGAGATGCTGAAGTGCAGACAAGTTTGGGGAGGCACGGCGCTATGCATTGCGTAACAGCTCGATAAAAGACAACTAACAGAAAAGCCCGTTTTACAGATTAAGAGACTAAGGCCCGGCAGGGAAAACCTCAAAGCGACCTTCCCGAGGCTGTACGTCCCGGGCCCGAGCTCGGATCTTGCCCACCTGGTCTCTCGCAGGCGGCCAGGTGGGGTCCGGGCTCTTCCTCCCCTGCGCACCTGCTCGGGGGCAGGGGCGCCCATCGATGCGCTCCGCTGCTCGGCTCCCCACGCCTGGTCGCTGCCCGCTCGTGCCCCTTCCCCCTCCCGGGCGCTTCCCACTTCCAAGATGGCCGCGGGTGGAGCCGACCAGGTAAGGAAGCCCCTGATGGGTGTTCACGGGGGGTCTGCGGGCATGAAAATCCCCTCAGGCCTCCCCACAGGCTCCTCTTGCCCTTCGGGAGAGAAAAGGTCCGGCAACGCCGCTCTGAAGCCCGTGGCGGGCGGGCGAGCGGGCCGGAGGAGGGGCAGCTGGACGAGCGTCGAGCTTGAGGAGCGGCGGCAGCCCGGCTGGGCGCGGCAGCCCGGGCG